TGTCTTGTAGGAAGTCAATCTTGCAAGCTGAAGCAGGGAACTGTTAAGGCAGCTGCACCCTGGTGCGACCATCACAAAGCAAGAGACCGGAGAACTAGAAAGGAGAGGCTCACCACCCATTTATCCCTCAACATGTGTTTATCAACCAGGTTGGCACAATTAACTAACTCAGTGACCTTTCTGATATTTGAAATAGCAATGGCATAGGTTCCAGCATTATAGGAACATAAAAACCACTACGATTTGACAAATTGACAGGTGAGTGTTGGGATTAAAGTTAATAGAAAAATGGGTTTCCAGTGTGAGCATTTTCTAAGCTAACAGGATACTTAGATGTAAGTATTTCAAGATCATGAATTCAGTTATTGATTTTTTTGTATTTGAAGTCCATATAGCGACGTTGAATGTCAGCATTAAATAGTTTTTTAGTGTTGAATACTTCATTAACTTCCTGAAATTTCTTTTTCAACTATAAAAATATCCCAGTGATAAAAGTATCCCAGGATATAAATTTATAGTACTAGTATGTGATAATTATGGTTGGATAATTTTGCACTTGCTAAAATTTTTAGCTAACATCAGCAATAGCATTTCTAAAATATGTTGTTAACTTATTATTTATAATCATTAAGTACCTTGCAAGGATGGGTATTTTTCATGTCTCATGGATATGTTAAAAAATTTCAGTTGTTATTTTATGGGCCCAAGCTTTGACAACCATTTAGAGCTGCGTGGGATCAAGATCGTAGCTTATTAAGTGCCATGGAGTCGATTGGGACTATTGGGAATGAGTAGGAATATTCATTCAGAACACAACACAACAACCTGAAACGCTGCAAGGTCCTGAACCATACTCACAATTGTGCCTAAACTTGTGCCCGTTTTTGTTGTAGCAATTGTGTCAATCCATCTCCATCTCCTTGGGGACCTTCCACTTTTTCACTGCTCCATCTACTTTGCAAGTATGGTGTCCTTCTCCAGGACTGGTCTCTACTGATAACATGTCCAAAGTACGTGAGACAAAGTCTCACTATCTTTGCCTCTTCGGAGCACTCTGGCCATATTCTTCCAAGACAAATTTCTTTCACCTTTTGCCATTCCATGTTACTTTCAATATTTTTCGACAGCACCACAATTAAAGTGAACCAGTTCAATGCACTTTTTCAGTCTTCTTTATTCTTTACCCAACTTCCACATGCAAATGAAGCTATTGAAAATACCATGACTTTGGGGAGGTGCACCGTAGTCCTCAAAAGAACATCCTTGCTTTTTGATACTCTGAAGAGGTCTTATGCAGCAGATTCACTAAATACAACTCTTCTTTTAATCTCTTGACTGCTGTTTCCATGAGCATTGCTTGCGGATCCAAACAAGACAAAATCCTTGACAGTTTCAAACTTTTCTCCGTTTTTCCTGATTACTATAGATTAGCTGAAATTTAGCTTAGGGATCAACTAATCTATAGTAGTTTTATTAACTATTAAAAGATTTGATGTTCTTATGTACAAATGTGCTCGACACAAGGAAATTATGTTTGGATTGTGAGAAGAGTTGTAAGAGCCCCCAATAAAATAACTTTAAAAAAAATTGATGTTCCTCACTTTCTTTCATTTGGAAAGAACTATCATACAACCTAAACCTATCAATAATGATTTTTTTTATGTTCAAATGATTTTGAAATAGTTAAAATAATTTTTCTCATGTACTTTGTTTCTATCACTTTAGAAAAGCATTTGGCAAGATAGTTTTCGCTCATTCTCTCCTCTCTCTCTTCCTTCTCTCTCTACTGAGAAGTTATTTGTAGAGACTCGATGATTATTTGGTTCTATAAATTGACAGTATCTTTATGTCTGATTTTTCTCTACCCTTTGAGATTTCTTTTGAGACATTTCAAGGGCTTAAGCACTAGATTATATTTGTATTTTGTTTTACTCTATATTCATATCTCATTTTGAAAGCTGAGTATGCCAAATTTGAAGTAATTGTGAAGATGAGGATTAAGTATAAAATATGCAATTTTATAGTCCTAGTAATCAATTTTAAAATCAATTATCAATTATCAATCAAATTTAAAATCAATTATTAGGTTTTTTTTTAATCTACACAAATCTGAAAATTTTATGAACTGTTTTGTAACCCAGAAAAGCACCAGGGAGTTAAATCTTAGAACTTCCAGGAATTAAAGAAAAATGATGGTGATGATAATATATCAGTTATAATGTAAGTTGGAATTGATGGTTTCTAACAGTACCATTGTGAATTGGGATGCAAGAGTAGTTTCTCTATTTGAAACTGACCTCATCACTAAACATTGTTAAACATTGTACATACAAAACAAAAATTCTTTATAGCTAAATATATTAATATTTCAAAACTATTGCTATTTTTTGTTTAGTTCGACCAGAATTTACTGATACTTTGGCAATCAAGCAAGGATGGCATCCCATTCTTGAAAAAATAGCTATGGAAAAACCTGTTGCCAACAATACCTATATCACGGAAGGGAGTAATTTTTTGATCATCACTGGACCAAATATGAGTGGGAAATCTACATATCTAAAACAGATTGCTCTTTGTCAGATTATGGCCCAAATTGGTAAGTTATAGCTTCACTGTTCTCTATTCAAAATATTTTGTGCCTGATTTTATAGGTCTAGGTATCTAATCTCAAGAACAGTTAGCAGTAGATTATCTTATGTAAAAGCATAATAATATGCCTGTTATGTTATAAATTTTCTTATTTGGTATTTATTAAGTACCAGTTTGAATCACACTGTACTAATAATTATGTAGCATACAATAGAAGTAAAACTTACTTATAAATATTAATGCTGAATATTAGTATCGAGTCATGTAATCATTTCAGATTCAGAAACAAAGCTATGTTGTGAGAAAAAGAGAAATAAGTAGAGCAAACTACTACCTTTTAAAACTAAGGTGAGTAGGAGGCTTGGTAGGGCTTGATCAAGGGCAATATAACAGAGGAATTACTGAAACCCACATGAAAGCTGAACATGATAGTGGGCCAAGAGGAAAATAAAAGGAAACAGAGGAAATAACTAGGAGGCAAAGGGCATTTATAGGGGTCTAAATACAGGTATGTACATATGTAAATATATTTATATATGATGATGGGGAAATAGTATGTACCACTATATAGGTTTAGTATTAAGGTAGCAGATGGACATTGGGCCTCTACTCAAGTACTCCCTCAATGCAAGAACTCTTTGTTCTAATAACCTGGCATTCTATGATGCTCACCTTCCCGAAACGATCACTGAAGACAAAGTGGGTGCATAAGCAAATGTGGTGAAGAAAGCTGATGGTGCCCAGCTACCAAAAGATATAGCTTCTGGGATCTTGAAGGTTTGAAGATAAACAGGCGGCCATCTAGCTGAGAAGCAACAAAGCCCACATAGAGGAAGCACACCAGCCTGTGTGATCACAAGGTGTAGATAGGATCAGGTATCAGGCATCAAAGACCGAGAAAAAAAAATCATATCATTGTGAATGAGGGGGAGTGTGGAGAGGAGACCCAAAGCCTATCTGTAGGCAACTGGACATCCCCTTACAGAAGGGTCGCGGGGAGGAGACGAGCCAATCAGGGCGCAGTATAGCACCAATGAAACATATAACTTTCCTCTAGTTCTGTAATGCTCCCCGCCCCCCACTCTTAAGATCCCAAATCTACCTTACAATTCTGGACCAGAGCATATACATGGGTACAGATAAGAGCTGGAAACACAGAAACCAGGACAGATAACCCCTTAGGACCAACAATGAGAGTACCATACCAAGAGGGTAAGGGAAAGCTGTGGGGAGAAAGGGAACCAATCACATCCAGGGGACAGGCAACAGAAAAGTGCGTGAAGGGAGATTGGTCAGTTTAAGCCATGAAAATTTTTTTTAATAAATTATCAAGGGTTCATGAGGAGAGGGAGTGCGGGAGGGAGGGGGGAAAATGAGAATCTGATACCAAGGGCTCAGTAGAAGTATACAAGTATACAGATGTGCTTGACACAATGGATGGATGTACGGATTGTGATAAGAGTTGTAGGAGCCTCCAATAAAATGATTAAAAAAAGAGTTCCCAATGAAATGATTAAAAAATGATCTGCAAAATAAATAAATAAAGATAGAAAGAAAGAAAAGAAAAGAAAAACCAACCAACAAAAACCTTAAAAAAAAGATCTGCATGGGATTAGATTTTATGTATATATATATATATGTGTGTGTGTGTATATATATATATATATATATAGAGAGAGAGAGAGATTGCGAGATTGCTTTAGGTAGTATTGACATATTTAAAGTTTTAAGTCTTCCACGAGCATGTTTTTTTCTTCCATTTCTCTGTCTTTTGTAGTGGTGTTTTGCAGTTTTCTTTGTTTCTCTGGTTATATTTTAATTTTTTAATCTTTGGATGGCTATTGTGAATAGTATTTTTCCTTTTTAAGGTTGTATTTTTTGGTGTTTAAAAAAACCAAGCAAAATCAAGCATTTATATGCTGATTTTGTACCCTGTCACTTTACAGAATCTCAGTTTGTTCCAGTAATTTACTTGCCGAAATGTTGGGATTTTCTTGTGTTGGAGTATATCTTTTACAAATAGAGTTTTACTTATTCTTTTCCAACTTGAATGTCTTTAATTTTCCTTTCTTGTCTCATAGCTCTAGCTAAAGCTTCCACGTGGTATTGAATAGGAGTGGTGATAAAAGGCATCCTTGTCTGGTTCCTCATGTTCGCAGAGAAGTGATTTCAGTTTCTCTTTATTTGAGAGTAGTGTTGGCAGTTGGTTTTGTAGTTATGCCATTTATTACGTTGAGGAATTTTCCTCTATTCATGTTTTGTCAAGTGTTTTTTAAAAAACATCAGGAATGGGTTTTGGATTTTTTCAAGTGCCTTTCTCCATCAATTAATGTGATCATCTAGTTCTTTGTTTATTATGTGATTGCATTTTTATTTTTCTAATGTTGAATCACTTTTGCATTTCAATCCTGGTATGACTCCCACTTGGTCATGATTACTTTTTGATACATTATTGTATTCAATTAGCAAGTATTTTGTTGAGAATTTTTGCATCTATGTTCATGGGAGTAAGCACTGTTTGTATAGTGATTACACATTGGCCTGTTGACCACAAGATCAGACACTCAACACCACCTGCCACTCACCAGAGAAAGCCAATGATTTCTATACCTGTAAAGAGTTACTGTCTTGGAAACCCACAGGGTCAGTTCTACTCTGTTATAAACCATCGCTTGAGTCAGAATTAACTCGATGGCAGTGAGTTTGAGCTTTTGGTATGTTCATAAGAGGGATATTAGTCTGTAATTTTCTTTCTTTTATTTTTGTAATGCCTTTGCCTGGTTTGTTATCAGAGTTATGCTTGCTTTATAAATGCATTCAGGAATTTCCCATCTCTTTCTTTATTCAAATAATTTGAGTAACTTGGTATCAGCTTTTCTGTAAATGTTTGATAGAAGAAACACAGTGAGGAAGTGGAATAATTGATGGTACATTGAAGGCATTGTAATAATCTAGTTGAAGCAAAATTTGTATGAATTATTAAATCTAAACCTGGTGATTTGTTCTGTAAATCTCCACAATAAAAGTGTTTACAATAAAAATAAAAAACAACCAATTTACTTTTTTATTTTTCAGGATCCTATGTCCCAGCAGAATATTCTTCCTTTAGGATTACTGAACAAATTTTTACAAGAATTAGTACTGATGATGATATTGAAACAAATTCCTCAACATTTATGAAGGAAATGAAAGAGGTACCTGAACTATATTTTCCTTATGTTGATAAACTTACTAAATTCATCCATTAATGATCAATTGTCATGTAAGAAAATATTCTTATTCTAAAACATGGAGCTGTGCTTGTACCTCTCTTTACCAGACAGAGGGCAGTCAAAGACAGCTTTCCCATATCTTTCTCCTGTGGAAATGAAAATAAATGTTTTGTTGAAAAACATGGTTTCAAAAAGCTAATATTGAATGATAAAAATGTACTTTCATACTCTTATATGGAATATATGAGGTATTTATTTTCAGAAAATACTATCCTTTTCAATACCCTTTTGCATAGTATTTTGCTCCCAGTAGGTATGATTTTAAATGAAAAGATCTCAAAAAATATATAATGCTTTTAAAAACATTGTCTTCTTTGCCCTTATAGAATTTTTCTTTCTTTATAACAACAGAATTTTTATCATCACTTATTTCCAATCTAACCAAACTTAAAGTAGGATTGAAGAACTTAAGAAATCAAATATAGTTTTTAAGTCTTTTAGCTAGAAATTAATGGATATGTGGTAATTCTATTGTTAACTTTTAAAGAACTCTCTATTAGGTTTTTTTTAAAATAGAAGTTCCATAATTTTGTGTTTTAAAGCAATGGATGAGGGTTACAGTTTATCCACATCCTCTCTAACACGTGTTATTTTTTGTTTATTTCTGATAATAGCCACCTGAGTGAGGATGCCCAATGGGAGTTGTCAGGAGGTGCCCAATGAGAGAAGCAGCACCTAGATGAGAAACCAAACCAAACTCATGGATATCAAGTTGACCCTGAGTTCTAAAACCCTATAAGTCAGGGTAGAACTGACATTCTAGGTTTCTGAGACTGTAACTCTTTACAGAAGTAGAAAGCCTGGTCTTTCTCTGGCAGAACAGCTGGTGGCTTTGAATTGCTGACCTTGTCGATAGCAGCCCACTGCATAACACGATGTCACTAGGGCTCCCAACCATCCTAGTAGGTGTGAAAGGATATCTCATTATGGTTTTGATTTGCATTTCCTGAGTGACTAATGTAAAGGAGCCCTGGAGATGAGGTCAGTTAACGCTTGGGCTGCTAACTAAAAGGTCAGCTGTTGGAATATATGTCACTCAAAAGAAGAAAGATGTGAAGATATACAACCTTGGAAGCGCTATGGAACAGTTCTACCCTGTTGTGTTGGGTTGCCATGGGTTGGATTGGCTCAACACCATGAATTTGGTTTTGGAATAATGAATAATATTCAGTCTTAGTTCATGTGCTAATATATCTTTTCCAGTTTTTTGCTCATTTTTGGTTGTTCTTATATTTATTTTAATATCTCTTTATATCCAGTAATGAGCCAACTTGATTGCACTGATCAACAAAAGCAATATCTAGTAAAGATTGAAAAAAATTCAGGAAATAGCATCCAAGTCCATCGATCTTGGTTAAATAAACAAATTTTCAATCTGTGACAAACAAAGGCTAAAACTTCAGTTGTCAGAAATGCTACTTCACCACTGAAGAGCATTGACCTCTGTCTGAAGAAATAAGATTCTATCATGACATAAAACTTACATTATGCCACGAAGTGAACTTCATGGTTATTTTACTACTAATGCTACTAATCTTCTTAGAGACCATTTAAAAATATACATCAAGCGCTTAGTATATAGTTATATATTCTTGTATATTTCATCCTTCATTTATCTAATCTGATGTGGTCACCCTCCATTTTCACATAATGCTGATTTTCACACAAATTTTCACACAGAGACCTGGTTTTTGGAACCTTACTTACCATGCCAATAAGTGAGGAGAGCCAATACTTATGTACTTTGTGGTTTTTCACATACATGCATATTATTAATTTCATCTATATTGCTTATTATTGACATTATGAGTCATGAGATTTTTAGAAAGAAAAGCAATGTTCTTCTGCTCAGCAGGATTTCTGTATAAAAATGTATTTCATTAACTAATGAGGACACTAGATTTCTACTAATTTTGTTTTCTGTGAAAATAGCTGCTTGATTTCAGTGAATAATATTAAAATTATATTTTTCAGATAGCATATATTCTACATAATGCTAATGACAAATCACTCATATTAATCGATGAACTTGGTAGAGGTACTAGTACAGAAGAAGGAATTGGAATTTGTTATGCTGTCTGTGAATATCTGCTGACCTTAAAGGTATTATTTCCTGTGTACTTTAATTGTATTGTTTTTAGGCCTCTTTTTTGATATAATTAAGAAACCTACTGCCGTCAAGTCAATTCCACCGTAGTGGCCCAGTACAACAGAGCAGGACTGCCCGTCTACCAGAGTGAAGCCTCTCTTTCTCACACAGAGCAGTTGGTGGTCTCAAACTGCGCAATCCTGTGGTTAGCAGCTCGAGAACAACTAGATTTTTCAATGACTTTAGGAAGTAAAAACATATGATAGCATTTATATTTTCGTACTTTATTATGGATAGAAATAAAAATGATTAGTAGGTTAGCCATGATGTAGATACAGAAAGGAGGAAATCAAGAATTCTAGATTATCTGAAAGTGTTCAGTTGACTTTAGTTTACTCAATTAAATAGCAAACAATATAGATATTTAAGTAATAAGCTCCATGTGTAATAACATTGATTATGATGTCATAGCATAAAATAAAGCACCAGGAATCTTGGATTCTTTTATGCAAAATGATCTAACTAAAATTACATCCTTTAAAATAAAACATTTTTTCCCACAAATTAACTATTTTCATTAAAAATAAATGAAATTTTGTTTTGTTCAGATATTTTGTAAAATGTATATAGTAGATGATCACTCAGGTTATCTACCAATATGAAACTTAAAAATATTTTTTTATATTTAAATAACATTTAAATGACTAATAAGTTTTTTATCTTAAATGAGAGTACATAATGATTTATTATTTGAATAAGGAAAATACTATTTTATCCTTTAAAATTTTATGTGATGAATCAGAAGTAATATGAATAGGTAAATTGTTGTTGCTAGGTGCCATTGACTCGGTTCCAACACATAGCAACCTTATGCACAACAGAGCGAAACACTGCCCAGTCTTGCACATCCTTACAATTGTTCTGATGCTTGAGCCCATTGACACAGCTACTGTGTCAATCCATCTCACTGAGGGCCTTTCTCTTTTTCACTGCCCCTCCACTTTACCAAATATGATGTCCTTCTCTAGAGACTGGTCTCTCCTGACAATATGTCAAAGTATGTAAGCCGAAGTCTTGCTGTCCTTGCCTCTAAAGAGCACTCTGGCCTTACTTCTAATGCAAATCTGTCTCTCCTTTGAGTAGTCCATGGTAATTTCAATATTCTTCTCTAGCACCACAATTCAAATGCATCAATTCTTAGTTCTTGTTTTATTCACTGTCTAACTTTCACATGCATATGAGACAATTCAAAATTCCATGACTTGAGTGGGGTGCACCTTAGTCCTCAAAGTAACATCCTTGCTTTTCAATACTCTAAAGAGGTCTTGTGCTGCAGATTTACCCAATACAATGTGTAATTTGATCTCCTGACTACTGCTTCCATGAGCATCCATGGTGGATCCAGGCAAGATAAAATATCTTTGAGCCCTTCCATCTCTTCTCCATTTATCATTGTTACCTATTGGTCCAGTTGTGAGGATTTTGTTTTGTTTTGTTTTTTTCTACACTGAGTTGTATTTCACATGGAAGGCTTCAATTCTTTTTTTCTTTTTTTTCAGAATCTACTATTTATTTTTTCATTTTATTGGGGACTCTTACAACTCTTGTCACAATTCATACATTGCTTGCATCAGGCAAATTTGTACATATGTTGTCTTCATTCTTTCCTAGACATTTACTTTCTATTGAGCCTTTGGTATCAGCTTCTTCCCCCCCACCCCCATCTTCCCCTTCCCATAACCCCTTGATAGATTGTACATTGTTATTATTTTCATATCTCACGCTGACCGCTGTCTCCCTTCCCCCATGTTTTCTGTTGTTCTTCCCCCTGGAGAGGGGCGTATGGCTATGTGTTAATCATTGTGATCAGTTCCCCCTTTCTCCCTTCCTCTCCTCCTCTTCCCCTACCCTTCTGGTATCACTATTCCCATCCCTGTTCCTGGATTCTGTGTGTCGTGAGCTCCCATCTCTTATCTATACCTGTTCTTGTATTGAGGGAGGGTATGAGCAGATGCTCTAAGTCCATCCCCTACCTCAGCGTATTGCCATAGGCCAATACCTCTATTTTTGTGGATTGAGGTATTTACATATGCACACCGCTACGTTTATACCTCTATGCATAGCTTTGCTTCCTGGGTTCTTCCTCTTGTTCTTTCACCTTCCTTCTGCCCCACCATCACTTTCCCCTTATTTCTGCCTCTTGGTACCTCCTCTTAGCTAGTTTGCTGTTGCTCTGACACCCCAACCCCCCAGATCCCTATCTCTCCTTATTGACCCCAACGCTCCAGTTGTTCCCTTGTCCATGGCACTGCTTGCTCTCCTCCCTCTTTCACCATCCCCTCACCCCCCAGGTCTCCCCAGGATCTTTGGTCCCGCAGCTCTCTCCTCGGGCATGTCTCCCATGCCTATCATATAAAGGTAGACACACAGACTATGACATAGCCCAAATTGATTTAAAAAAAAGAAAGATTGAAGAGAGAAAAGGAGAAGAAGCAAGAAGAAAAAGAAAAAAGAGAGAGAGAAGACATATACAAAAATCCTGGGTCTGTTCACTGGCCTTCATGACTGTCCAGGAGCTGTCCCTCTTCGCCTGGAGCCCCCCCACCCTTGAGGGCTCCTCAGGGGCTTTGTAGCTCTGCCTTACTCTAGCTGTTGGTCTGGTATGGTCCCTTCTCAGTTCTCTCTGCTGTGGGAGGTTCAGACCACACTACCTCCCACAATGTGACCCCATATGATTGTAGCAGTCTGCTCCAATAAGGGCACAATGGGACACAAGCTGTTGGCCGCCCAGCCTGCTCTGTGTTCCATTAGCTCCCCGTGGGGACGTCATCCTACGGGCCTGGTGTAAGGCTACAATTCTTGATCTCCATCAGCAAGTGCTTTCAGCCCTTCTCACTTTCAGCAATCAAGTTTGTGTCACCCGCATATCACAACCTGATTCCTCCAATCCTGATTCTGAGTTCTTTGTATAAGCCAGATCTCTGATTATTTCTTCATTATACAGATTGAATAAATATGGTGAGTGCATACAACCCTGACACACATCTTTATTTTAAACCATGCAGTATACATTTATTCTGATTGCACAACTGCCTCTTGATTCTTGTACAAGTTCCTAAGAAGCTCAATGTAGTATCCTGGAATTCCCATTCTTCTCAAGGATATCAATAGTCTGTTATGACCCACAAAGTCAAATACCTTTGCATAGTCAATGAAACACAAGTAATTTTACTGGTATTCTCTCCTTTGAACCAAGATCTATCTGACATCAGCAATGATATCCCTTGTTCCACATTCTCTTCTGAATCCAACCTAAATCTGACAGCTCCTTGTCAATGTACTGCTGCAATCATTGTTGGATTATCTTCAGAAGAATTTCACTTGTATGTGATGTCAGTGATATTGTTCTATAATTTGAGCATTCTGCTGGATCACCTTTCTTTGGAATGGGTGCAGATATGGAACTCTTCCAGTCAGTTGTCCAAGTAGCTGTCTTCCAAATTTCCCCGTATAGTGCTTCCAGTGCTTCATCAGCCTGTTGAAACATTTCAATTGGTATTCTGTCAATTCCTGGAGCATTAATGGGTAGCATTACTCTGTAATTCTGAATCTATGTAAGTCAGTCAGAATGTCTCTAATAAATACGATGCATGTATTATTTGTTAAAGATAAAACTTATTAATATCTGTTTCTTAGTTATTCCATGATAATAATTTCGGTAATATTTTTAATAGATTTGTAGAATATGATAATTTAATAAAAATATTTTTCCATTTCCTTTAAGGAAATTAAAGTTAATTGTTATTTTTTTTAACCCAGTATTCTAGTGAAGTACTACAATAAGTAAGCTCAGAAAAATTACTTATCAGAATGAACTGAGTTGAAGTGGAGTTCACAAATTGAGCACAGCCTTTGGTTTAAAAATAATTTGTTAGCTCTCTAAATATTTTCTTGTCAATTTTAAAGTTTGGTTTATTTTTATACCCTTTTTGATTTGTTGAGTGGGGAGTTGAAATTCTTCATTTTTCTGTCATACAAACCTCTTTAAAATTTTATTTTTATTTTATTTTTTTATATTCCAAGTATTTATTTAAAAGGAGAGAGACTTATTCTGAGAACTTTTGACGTATGTAACTATATTTAGCTTATGATAGTAAAGTACATTTTAAAAAGTCATTTTATTAGGGGCTCATACGACTCATCACAATCCATACATACATCAATTGTGTAAAGCACATTTGTACATTCATTGCCCTCCTCATTCTCAAAACATTTGCTCACCACTTAAG